ATTTGTAGTGTATGCAATCTTTCGTGCTATAGCCTATACTGTGTCAGTACCTCCATAATGATATATATAGGAGTCAGGACATATAGCCTAGTACCGCGTCGTCGTGTGCGACCTTCTTATATGTAGGCTAGTATGCTCGGTATGCTATGCCATATTATAGACGGCCAACAATATTGAATCTCAGAGCAAGCGAAAACTCGAGCGAAAACGCGGATAGAATCGTAGGATTTTTACTCGTACTAAAATTCCCTCACTGAGTGTCAGTTTAATTTACAGTTTAAACATGAACGAATAGACACACATGCATGCGTTGAAACATCATTTATATATACCAACTTTATAATACATGCATGGTCTATAACTCTAACTTGTTTGTATTTGGTATTTTTGTCATTTTAATTGAGTGAAAGGTTTATATTATCACGCGCTATAAAAGCTTTTTTACCAGGTTTTTTATGAAATATTTCGTGTGAGAAAGGATCAATATTAAAGAACTGTCTGTATTAAAGTGATGCTATTAAAAATACCAACTTCTAACGGGAATTGAAAATTATCCTTTGCACTTCAAGAGTAGCTAAGTCGGTAAAAACAAGGAAGCCAATCAACTGTTGTTACTTTAATATTTTGAATTTTAGGGGCGGACCATTAGAAAATGGGGGAGGGGGGGTGGCAATTTTTTCGGGCAGGATATTTTTTTTTGCAACAACGTTGTGCAAGATTTTTTTTTTCAGCCATGCTTGTGTTGCACGATTTTTTTTTTAATATAAACATGCTGTGATATTAAAAGGAAGATAACATTTATATTCAACTGATACTGATAACATGGTGAAAGTTTTCTGTTTTTGTTATTTTATGTTGTTATTTGTTAATATATCGTGTTTGTATATAAATCAACTTTATATTTTAAATACAGGTTATTTTAAGACAGTACAACTGAATATTTTAGACTGAGATGTGTATGTTTAATATAACTACAGTCTACATTATGTATAATTTTTTACGTTTATATATTTCCATTGATTTACTATTCTCTGAGGTTTATAACTTTACCTAAATATATGTTGGTCTAATAACTTGCAAGATATTTTTTTCCCACGCTGGGTTTCTGCAAGATTTTTTTTTCCTCTGAACTGACCTTGCACGATTTTTTTTTCTGAAATTGCCACCCCCCCCCTCCCCCATTTTCTAATGGTCCGCCCCTTACTTTAATGCGCTGGTAAAATCCTAAAAAAGTGCTGGCAAAAATGGCTAAAAAGTGCTCAAAAAGTCGGCTCAAAATCTCAAAATAGTGTTCAAAAAGTGCTAAAATTGTGAACAGTTACCTCTAAGATTTTCGTAAATTTTTTAAAATCAGCATTTTTTAAAATCTGTTTCCACGTCTTTCTCCATATATGGAACAAACTTCCGTATATGGAGTTGTTTACGACAAAAAAAAAAAAAACTCGAAAAAGTCAGCGTTCTAATTTTTTAACTGTAATGTCATATGCAGCTGTACGGCTTTTCTTTTGGAGTTATACCTAAATTATATATAAAATAATAGTATAATACCCGTCAATTTTTAAACCTTACTTCGAACTGTATGTTTAGTTAATCGAGGTACGAATCGAATTCTATAATCGCTGACTTTTTGTTGCTCAAAATTCGCTCGAAATGTGAAATATTGCTCAAATGTTGCCCAAAGTGCGAAAAAGTGCTCAACGTTGCTCAACATGCAAAATGGTGCTCCAAACAAAAAAAGTGCTCAAAAAGTGCTCAGCGCAATCGGGAAAGGCCTACTAATAATGAAAAATATGACCTTAGAAATAACGGAATTAATTTTCAACTGGATAAACCTAAGACTAATTTCCTCAAAAAAAGTATTAGCTACTCAGGGGCAAAATGCTGGAATAATTTGCCAAATGAGATTCAAAAGAAATGACGATGGGACACAATATTTTGTATATATTCTCTTAGACTTTAACTGTGTGATAATTTATATTATATTATATTTTAGATGTAATTTTTATTAAACTTTGTAAATATTAGTTTAAACGGCCTCTTGAAAAACGGATCATAGGTGTTCTGAAGAGCTACCGTTTTAAAATATTTGTAAATAATAATAATAAATTGATATTTCCTTTCCTGTTCATTAATACTGAAAAATTTGTATTTTCCGATGTATTTTTGTACGACACGACTTTGTTTATCTGATTGTCTCGCTTTATGAAACATGTAAACTTTTATATTTTTCGCTGTGTAATATAAATAAACTCTGTATCGTCTATGAAGAACAAATTTTGCACTCGCTCGTTCGTTTAATTTGCGAAAACAGATTATAACGCGTGCGTAAATACCACACGTAAGTATTTCCCATGAAAAAATCTCTATATACTATTCGGTTATCCGGTTATCCGGTTATCCGGTTATCCGGTTATCCGATTATCCGGTTATCCGGTTATCCGGTTATCCGATTATCCGGTTATCCGGTTATCCGGTTATCCGGTTATCCGCTACCCGGGTTTTCTACCATGCCTGGGATTAGTTTTAAAAATAGCTCGGTCAAGGCGAAAATTAATATAAAGGTCAAACGCACGTAACAAATTCCATTATCGATTTCTTCGAATTTCTTTTCTTTTATGCTTTATGGAAGAAAATAAATCAAACAAACAGTATTTTGAAAGGGCTTCATCAAAATCTTTGACGAATTTTGGACACACGACGCTGAAAGAACAGCCAAACTAGTCCTGTATTCGAAAGCTTGTTGTTGACAGCCAAGATGTTCTGCCAACTTGCTTCGCCTTGCAAGTCTTATTTTTAATATCAGGTCCTACCGGCGTTGTTTTCTGAGCTACATCGCCTTCTTCGTGGTATGATTGAGAATTTAATTGTTGCTGTTATTAGCCCGTTAGTCGTTAGAGTATATCCGCGTCCAGCAAGTTGAGACCTTGAGAAAGCTTGGCAGTCAAGCCGTGCACAGAACTGACTAATTAAATCTTTGTTTGCTGTTCGCCTGTTCGGTTAAATAGAGAAACTGACTCTTAATTATATAAAAAGTACCTTGAATTTTTAAGTTTAATTAAAAAGCAAAATGCTCTGCGGACATGTTCATGAGAATATAATTTTTTTGTGTAACGAAATCTACAACACTTGTCAATCATATTGCATGTGTGTCTAAAAATAACATGTGGGCGTCTCACGGTCTAGACAGGTTTTGTGTCAGGCCCTATTTCAAATTAGGGCCTGAACTTCAGGTTATGTCAGGCCGTACTTTTCTCCTGTGGTGCATGGTTAGCACTAGTTTCCATCTGTGAAATTGACGTGACGTCATTTTCAGAAGATGGAAGGGGTGTTAAATGGCTATGTAACTGACCCAAACCCTACCCCTACTCTAACCCCTAACCCTAACTGCAACCCTAACTCTAACCCCAACCAAATTAATGAAAAAATCCAGAAAGAAACAACTTTAGAAATTGATCAAATTACGCAATGTCAGTTTGGTAGATGGAAACTAGTGAAAACCTTGTACTGTATACTAACCTCCTCCGCAGGCCTCTCTATGGGTTCCTCAGTGAGATGCCTACGGAGGAGGCTAGTACTGTACTGTGGCGTGGTGACTGTAGGGCGACTTCAAGCATTTTTTCAGGACCTAAATGCATTTGATACTTACCTTCAGTTTAGTATGAAGATTGGAGGATCTAGTCTACATTTTCTAGATCTTTTAATCACCATAAGGGATAATATTAGGTCACATAAGAAAAATTACTTGTTTAGCGTCCTCTCATTTTAATTTTTCTAGGTCGGGCGGGCGGGGTTTTTTTGTTGTTTTTCTGCTTTGTTTTTTCAGTAAAATGCGACACAAAATTCTCCTAAATGTAGGAAATCCAGTATACTACCACAGTCAAAACTCACTTTAATTCTTTCAAAATCCGTTCATGTTTTTAATAAAACAGAAAATTACCGTTTGGCGGTCACGCGCGAACATTTTACCTGCGAACAGGCATATTCTGGGAAGGAAATACTTTGTGTAAACGTATTACATAGCTCCCGGAAGAATAAAATCACCATTTTTTCAAGTAAAACGGTCTTTTCTATTTTTGGGTGTAAAATTTGGGTTGAAGATTTGGGTGTCAAATTCTCTGGGAAGGAAATACTTTGTGTAAACGTATTACATAGCTTCCGGAAGAATAAAATCACCATTTTTTCAAGTAAAACGGTCTTTTCTATTTTTAAGGTGTAAAATTTGGGTTGAAGATTTGGGTGTCAAATTCAGGTGTAAAATTTGGGTGGAAGATTTGGGTGTCAAATTCAGGTGTAAAATTTGGGTGGAAGATTTGGGTGTCAAATTCAGGTGTAAAATTTGGATTGAAGATTTGGGTGTAAAATTCGGTCAGGTGTAAAATTTGGGTGGAAGATTTGGGTGTCAAATTCAGGTGTAAAATTTGGATTGAAGATTTGGGTGTAAAATTCGGGTGTAAAAGTTGGGTTTTTTGTACTAAACTCGGTTCAGGTGTAAAATTTGGATTGAAGATTTGGGTGTAAAATTCGGGTGTAAAAGTTGGGTTGAAGATTTGGGTGTAAAAGTTTTTGTACTAAACTCGGACGGATCTTGAAAAAAAAATTGGAGGTTGGGGACTTTTATCAGGTCGGGCGGGGATGCTAAACAAGTAATTTTTTATACCTCAACGCAAAGTCTAGCCTGCGAACAGGCTCTCGCATCATAGTGCTCAAATACTTGGCATTGCCAGGGGACTTGCGTTGAGACTGCGAGGGATATGTTCTGATTATAAGGATTTTCGGCAAAAGAGTAAAGAATATTTGTAAATATTTGACATATTGCGGGCATAATCGCAACTTATTCACCATAACCTTTTTCTTCTAAACTGCGTAATTATAATATTCGACACATTTCAAGTCACAAAATGACTTATTTGAACCACAACGGTACATTACACAAAAAATAGTCTTTACCACGAGACCACTTGCTCGTTGTTTGTAGCCTACCGCAACTTAGTCACCGTAACCTTTTCTCTAGATTGTATAATTAAAATTCAACCATTTCAAATCTCAAAATGACATCTGTAGGACTTGAACCACGGTACAAGTCCATTTTTAGCCACGTTTTTCATTTTATCAATTTTAGGAAGGAAAATCGCTGCCCATCGCTTTTAAAATACGTCATTTCTGTAAATAATGTATCTATACAGAATGTTTTGCTAATTCGGCATTACTATTTTCATTACTATACTGGTAATAATTTGTTATTGTTTTATACGCCCATTGTGGAAACCAGCTTTAGCTGACAATGTTAGCGTGGTTAAATAAAGTTTATAATCATCTCCCATAAGCCTGTGGCTATATAGTTCATAGCTGTCACCAGATACAGTTGAGGCACCGCTCATGAAACTACGGCACCTTATGCGGGAAGAAACATCCACAGTTTTGTTGACACATAGATGAATTATAGATGTACCCAGCGAGAACGTCTTTGGCTAATTTGTTTCGACTCCAATATCCTTCTTCACAAATCCTTTCCCTCCGCATCCCTTGCAATTCACATCAGTCCTAGTTTTACCCCTCAGATAATCCACGAATTGTCCCACCCATGGTGCAAGTGACCCCACACTTCCCTGTGGTCCCACAAGTCCTAGGACGGCTTCAAAAAACACGAGGGCAAATAGCAAGGAAAATGCAACGGTTGAGAAAATAAATATCCCGAACTGAAAAAAGAACAAAATTTTTGCGCCAAACATGAACACCGAGGCGCCCAAAGTCGAGCATGCGCCTGACAACACTGAAATACCCACGTGACCCAGTGTACTTTGAACTCGTGCCAGTCTTTTGGACTGATGCTCCCTGACGTAGTGTTGTGCAATGTGTACAACGTAGTCCACTGAGAGACCGACCACTAGGGTTAGATTCAATGATTCTAAGACCCCTAGTTTCCAGCCCGCCATAGGTATCACCCCCACCACACAACATGTGATTAAACCAATCGTCAGCGTTGCTAAGAGACTGACAATCCAGTTCATTGTAGCGACAGTTAGGATGAGCAACGCTAAAGCCAGACCCAACGCAACGCCTTGAACTGCATTCTTCACTAAGATCTAGAAATAATAACACATTGGTTAGAGGATGCGTCTTTTGCCTCTGTGGAGAGGCTATAATTTCTGCAGAATACCTGTTTGACACAAGTTGTTGCAAATCTCACGAAAGAAGTTGTAACAAGGTTGTTGTGAAGCCGATATCAGGATGTGTTCTCACTGCTTGTACCCAGTTGTTGTGACAAGTCTGGAACAAGTTGATATCAGTTCACCTTGGCACAAAGTTGATGACGGTAACAGACTTGCTACAAGTTGTTCCAACAAGATTAGTAAAGGCTGTTCAAGTTGCTACAAGTTTGCTGTCATCAACTTGTTATCAACATATTACATGCAGACGATATCAATCTTGTTGGAACAACTTGTTGCGAGTCTGTTGACCCCATCAATTTTGTTACAAGATGACAACAACTTGTTCCAGACTTGTAAACAACTTGGAATAAGCAGTGCGAACACATCTTGTTGACACAAACTGTGAGATTTTTGCGCGTCAATCAAACCACACATGGTTTCTCAGAATTCTCCAATTTCTTTCAGTAGTGACAGTGAATTGATTGGGCTAATAAGGGGTGATGTTATTGGAACTCTAAGGAGAAACAGTTTAGTAATCATAAATTTAATCTGATCATGAGGTTTCCGTTTGATCTTTGATTCTCTTGGGTTTCATCTGACGTCACATGGGGGTCAAGGGGCTGTGTCAAGGTCGGCTTTTATAAATATAGTCGGAAACTCATTTACATAGAATGCGTTGTTTTAGACCCCGATTCAATTATTGAGCCCCACTTGAGTAAAATTATGATAGAACATCACGTGATTGAAAACCTAGGAATTTACCTGTTGAACTTTGATCCAGTGCCATGCATTTCGTTCACCAACAGTGGCTTGAAAGCCTTGGCGACAGGAAGGAGGCATTTCTTTCATCTAATGAAAAAAAAATCAAAAACTGTTGAAGGATTAAAAACGAGGTCAAATGAGGATGAGAGCCGGTACATGGGAGTTGGTAGTCACGCGAACTTGGTTAGCTGTTCTTAATGCTTTCCCAACACTATCATGTATTCTATTGAAGTTAAAACATAGTTGGAACATTCATCAAACCTTTATTTTGTTCATCTAGAGCTTGAAATGTCCCCTGTAGCAATGCGTGACTACCAACTCTCAACTGATCCTTGTTTGACCAGGGCTTAAGATGTCAAACCGCAGTCATTTCACATGCGACTGCGGTGAGATTATTATCACACAACTTCATATTGCAGAAATCAAACCCAAGTCACAAAGGTAAATGTGAGTTATGTGACACATACACTAACTACTGCAACACCAACACCTTCAAAATCTCTACTGCCATACCTGATCTTTAACAAAATCTTCCCATTGGTTATAAATCGGCAGGCCACGCTCGTAGCCCAAATTATCTGCGGATAAAGTTGTGTTCACTGCTATAGCCATGAAAAGTAGACGATTACCGTATTTGTTCCCTAAATGGAGAAATCAATCACTGACTTGGATGGTTTTGCCTTTGGATATTATCAGCATAACCATTCAACTTGGATGATTTTGCCTTTGGATATTATCAGCATAACCATTCAACTTGGATGATTTTGCCTTTGGATATTATCAGCATAACCATTCAACTTGGATATGGTAATGTCTTTGAATATTATCAGCATAACCATTCAACTTGGATGATTTTGCCTTTGGATATTATCAGCATAACCATTCAACTTGGATGATTTTGCCTTTGGATATTATCAGCATAACCATTCAACTTGGAATGGTAATGTCTTTGAATATTATCAGCATAACCATTCAACTTGGATGGTTTTGCCTTTAAATATTATCAGCATAACCATTCAACTTGGATGGTTTTGCCTTTGAATATTATCAGCATAACCATTCAACTTGGATGGTAATGTCTTTGAATATTATCAGCATAACCATTCAACTTGGATGGTAATGCCTTTAAATATTATCAGCATAACTATTCAACTTGGATGGTTTTTCCTTTGAATATTATCAGCATAACCATTCAACTTGGATGGTAATGCCTTTGAATATTATCAGCATAACCATTCAGCTTGGATGATTTTGCCTTTGGATATTATCAGCATAACCATTCAACTTGGATGGTAATGCCTTTGAATATTATCAGCATAACCATTCAACTTGGATGATTTTGCCTTTGGATATTATCAGCATAACCATTCAACTTGGATGATTTTGCCTTTGAATATTATCAGCATAACCATTCAACTTGGATGATTTTGCCTTTGGATATTATCAGCATAACCATTCAACTTGGATGGTAATGCCTTTGAATATTATCAGCATAACCATTCAACTTGGATGATATTGCCTTTGGATATTATCAGCATAACCATTCAACTTGGATGGTAATGCCTTTGAATATTATCAGCATAACCATTCAACTTGGATGGTAATGCCTTTGAATATTATCAGCATAACCATTCAACTTGGATGTGCCTTTGGATATTATCAGCATAACCATTCAACTTTGCCTTTGAATATTATCAGCATAACCATTCAACTTGGATGGTTTTGTCTTTGAATATTATCAGCATAACCATTCAACTTGGATGGTTTTGTCTTTGAATATTATCAGCATAACCATTCAACTTGGATGGTCAGGGACGCCGGAAAGTCGATAATTGGGGGGGGAGGGCAGATATTCATATATTCATGTTCTGCATCATTTATTTCCTTTGAAAGCGATTGTTTTTACAGTCTGTGAACATGAATATATGAATATCTGCCCCCCCCCCCAATTATCGACTTTCCGGCGTCCCTGTGGATGGTAATGTCTTTGAATGTCATTGCCATTACCATTCAACCTAATTCAAAACGTTATTCATAACCATGGTTCAAGATAGTCATATAACCTTGGTTCACTTTAATCGAAAATTAAATTAAATTTAATGCCACTTCTGCCATATAGTTAATCCGGCAGTGAGTATAAAATCTAGCCATGCTAACCTTGTAACTTTGAACCACTCGACAAAGCACTCGGGTCCTCCTCCCCACCGACCAGCTGAGAGTAAGTTTGAAAATCGTAGTTCTTCCAATAATCCGATTTCAATCCATCTGTTATGAAGTAACCAAGTGCTACTTCGAAATATCGATAATATGTTTCTGGTAAACCCGAGTTGTTGTACAGTTTTGAATTATTCCCCATTAATACTTTCATCTTATTTTCATTTACAGGCAAACGAAGATCTGTGTTCATTGGGTATTTTCTTGACTTGGTGCCTTCAACCTGGAATGAGGTATAGTAGGATTATATTTGTTGGTGGCACAGCCGGGTTAGTGCATGCAAACACTAAGTTTTTTCTGTAAAAATCTCACAATTTCTTAACAAGATGTGTTCACAATAGGCTTGTAGGAGGGTGTTGATGGGGTATATCGTGAGTCGTGATTCATTCAATTTCGGTTACCATCAGTCGTGAAAATACTAAAAATTTACCGTGAAGCGTGAGGAAAAAAGTACTGTTTATCGTTTCAGAACACTTTTCAAAGATTTACCTTTAAAATACCAAACTTTCACCGTTAAAATACAAACAGTATCGACCAGTATCACCAGATTTTGGTATATAAATGAGCGTGCTCATGAGACACCCAAATAAGGGATGCTCATAAGCACGCCCATATATGTACTAAAATCCGTTAAAATACAAACAGTATCGACCAGTATCACCAGATTTTGGTATATAAATGAGCGTGCTCATGAGACACCCAAATAAGGGATGCTCATAAGCACGCCCATATATGTACTAAAATCCAGTATGCTCATGAACACGACCAGTATCAGCGGATTTTGGTATATATATGAGCGTGCTCATGAGACACCCAAATAAGGGATGCTCATAAGCACGCCCATATATGTACTAAAATCCAGTATGCTCATGAACACGACCAGTATCAGCGGATTTTGGTATATATATGAGCGTGCTCATGAGACACCCAAATAAGGGATGCTCATAAGCACGCCCATATATGTACTAAAATCCAGTATGCTCATGAACACGACCAGTATCAGCGGATTTTGGTATATATATGAGCGTGCTCATGAGACACCCAAATAAGGGATGCTCATAAGCACGCCCATATATGTACTAAAATCCAGTATGCTCATGAACACGACCAGTATCAGCGGATTTTGGTATATATATGAGCGTGCTCATGAGACACCCAAATAAGGGATGCTCATAAGCACGCCCATATATGTACTAAAATCCAGTATGCTCATGAACACGACCAGTATCAGCGGATTTTGGTATATATATGAGCGTGCTCATGAGACACCCAAATAAGGGATGCTCATAAGCACGCCCATATATGTACTAAAATCCAGTATGCTCATGAACACGGATGCTCATAAGCACGCCCATATATGTACTAAAATCCAGTATGCTCATGAGCACAAATCACCACAGCTATTTGGTATGCTCATAAGCACGCGCTCATTATGCTCCATAAATCCAGTGATATATGCTAATGAGCATGCTTCCGTCCATGCTGGATTTTGGAATATATATCAGCGTGCTCATGGGTATACAAAATACCGCATGTTTGTCTTACCACAATATCCTGTAATTTGCTCATGAGCATGCTTATGAGCATACTGGCTGTTTGCCGATTTTCCTTGTATGTGTATGAGTGTGCTCATGAGCAGGCTGGATTTTTGTATAATTATCGTGAACATCCCTTTCGTGCATGCATGCAGAGCGCTCATGAGGATACCATATTTTGGTATGCTCATGAGCACGCCCAAATATTCACCAAATCCTATAATATGCCCATGAGCGTGCATGTAATATGCTCTTGAGCATGGTTAAGAGCAGCGCTAAAAGCACACTGTATGATTTTGATGCATATATGATCGGAGCGTGCTCATGAGCATCCAGGATTTTAGTATGCTCCAGTAAATTGTCGTTGTCTTAGGTCGAGACTTAGTCAGTTTTAGCTCGCTACGGATTTAGACTTTTTGGGAGAGTGGTTTTTGTGATGCTGGGAGGGGCGGTGCCCCCCTCTCCCCTGGCTACGCCACTAGGCTTGTTTCCAAACTTGGTACAACAACTAGGAACAAACCTTGCAAACACAATTTGTCGACAACTTGTGCACAGACCTGCCAACAAGCTGTCAACAAGTTGTGTTCGCACTGCTTGTCCCAAGTTGTCAACAAGTTTGCAACAAGCTGTTAACAACTTGTAAGAACTGGGATAGTTTGGCGAGAGTTTGTATTTCCGATACAATACGGACGCGAATGTTGTAAATGGCTTAAAAAACGACTCATCTTATGAGTTCATTGGCGAAGTAATTTTAAAAATAAACGTTGTCTAAGCCGAGAAAATCAAAGTTAAAGTTTATGTAAATCAACATGAATCTGTATCACATATACAAACTCCTTCACGCCCATGATTTCTTTTGTGTTTTCTTCATGAATGAAAATCAAAGTTAAAGTTTATGTAAATCAACATGAATCTGTATCACATATACAAACTCCTTCACGCCCATGATTTCTTTTGTGTCTTCTTCATGAATTATTAATGCATTTTTTTATACGTGTGTAACACCGGACAAATCAGGAATGCTTCATACTGGAGCTGTAGGGAGAACAGTTTAGAAGTGATAAGACGCTCCTGCAGTAAATAAGCTATTTAGATTAAGCCTGAAAGCAAAATACCAACCTTGAAATATTCGTTCATTCTTTCCAACAAACACTGCAACTGTACATTTCCATTGACGAGACTACGGCGGATTTTTAATCTGTCGAGTTGTTCTTGTCGTAGGTTTCTTAGTTTACTACATAGCTTCTAAAATATTGAAAGAGGGAAACGTTTAAGAGTGCTTACAGAAACTAGCAGAGAATAGAGTGACTAAATCTTACTAAACTGAACTAACTTTGTTTATACTGGATAGCTCTATCAGTTGTAAACTGTTCTTCCTAGAGGTCCAGTAAGGATCATCTCATATTAATCCAGTGTTACTACAGGAGGAAACAGAAACTAGCAGAGAATAGAGTGACTAAATCTTAAATGAAATGGTGACTAAATCTTACTAAACTGAACTAACTTTGTTTATACTGGATAGCTCTATCAGTTGTAAACTGTTCTTCCTAGAGGTCCAGTAAGGATCATCTCATATTAATCCAGTGTTACTACAGGAGGAAACCTGGCTAAACTAACTTTATTTATACTGGATAACTCTAACAGTTCTAAACTGTTCTCAGGATCATCTCGTATTGATCCAGTGTTACTACAGGAGGAAACCTAAACTAAACTAACTTTGTTTATACTGGATAGCTCTATCAGTTCTAAACTGTTCTCTCAAGGATCATTTCTTATTGATCCAGTGTTACTACAGGAGGATACCTAAACTAAACTAACTTTATTTTATACTTTCAGTTCAGTTCTAAACTATTAATTCTTCTTTGGAAGTACTTGGTTGAATGTATCAGGCCGTAATATTGGCGTAAGTATACGTAATATGTCACATCCTGGTGTACTACAACCCACTGTGTAGTAGTGCAGTCACCGCGGAAATTCAACTCACCAACATAGCATTCTGACAGGGAGGAGGATTGAGGTCAAAACTTGTTTCAAATACTGTCTCTCCTTTACATTTATAATCCGTGAAATGACACCTGCTTCGGTCTTGTTCTCTCAAGCCCCAGATAATATGAACTGTAACAAGATTATCTTCTTCACTCGGCTGGAAAGCCGTTTCACGTAACCGTTTTATTTCGTACCAGTTCGTCCCAGAGACCCACAAATCCACCTGGGAATACAGGAAATATTAGTTTAATAGACAATTCCCATTATAAACTAATTTTAAAACTAGACAAGGAGATGCGAATAAATCACCACAGCTAGAAAGAGCATACTAAAATGAGTAAAATTGCAAAGTTTGGTTGCGAAATGTTGTAAAATGTGGAAAATATAGCCTTGCATGCAAATTTCGCAAATTTTGTATACTTTTGTATTGCGTTGCTCATAGTACCATTTCAAGCCCAAATGTGGTAGCATTTGGGCTTGAAATGGTAGCAACGCAATATAAAAGTATACAAAATTTGCAAACTTTGCATGCAAGGCTATATTTTCCGCATTTTACAACATTTCGCAACCAAACTTTGCAATTTTACTCATTTTAGTATGCTCTTTCGGGGAATATACTTTTTTTGCCAAGATAAAAAATTAGTCTATAATGGGAATTGTCTATTAGTGTTCGTATTCGTATGGTAGAACTGAAAATGATGTGTATGAAATCCATCATTCGAGGGGCGTTCGAGGGGCTTCGGTAGCCAAGTCTTCAGCAATCTCGTACCCAGAGCAATGCCTGTGCGCGGGCTAGGATGGCATTGGCTCTGGGGAAATTGACAACTGGAACCCCTAAATTTAGGGGTTCCGGTTCTTTGTCGGCATGCACGATTGATAAACGTTAAACCAATCACAGCACAGGAAAAATTCAATTT